ATGGTAGAATGTGAGTTGGGTTCCTATGTAAAGGAGAGGGTGAGTGTTCTGGAAAGCATTTACCTTCGGTTGAAAAGTCAGAATACCTTCTGGGTACTTTTGTAATTCTATTATTAAATTACGAAAAATGAGAAAATGTGAATTTTTTTTGGTAGGAATTTTAACATCATCGCCTCAATATTTTCACCATAATCGAATGTATGCTAAATTTTTTTTCTGAAAGTTGTTTCAATGAAAGTAACATTTTGTGTGATAGTGTTTAGCAATTTAGCATGAAGTTTTCTCTTCCTTCCTTTGTGTGTCTGTTTAGGGGTAGGTGAAGGGTGGGTATAAGTTTTTATGAATTGCAATACCTAATTTCCTTGCAGATGTTTTATATTCACAAATCTCTACGGCTGTTTCATCTCTTATTTGTCATGAGAGGATCCAATGTCACAAGTTTGCTCTTTATTTTTCCTGGATAGAGGGGTGTACGTGTGCTACTTGCTTGACAAGTTAGGAAAGAGGGGAAAAATAAAGGGTAGTAGGTTAAGTTTTTATCATATTGGTGCAAAAATGTTTTCACTGTTTTAAATCTTCTATATTTTTAAAGTTAGGTTTTTACTTGTAGTTTTAGTTAACTATTTCATTTGTTTCTTGATTTATTCAGCTAGCAGGGTTATTATCAGATGATTCAAATGCAGTTAATAACATGAAATTGCTTGGCACACCTCCTGAAACAAAGAAAAGCTCTATAGGAGCTTTTGCGTTAAAGTTTGATAATAAGGTGTGCCATTTTAAAAAAAAAAAAATTCTTTGCTCTCACTAATGTCTTGTTCTTACTGCATCTTCTTCCCCTCACATAATTTTTTTTGTAATCAGAAAAAACATGGAGTCAGAAAGGAACGTGTTGGAGAAGAAACAGCATGGCAATTATCTCGATTTTATCCAATGGTTGAGGTATGCATAATGGGTCATGTGCCATGTAGAAGAAAGGCTGCTTGGTTAATCATGACTTTGGGGATTTGCTTATGAAATCGTTAAGATGTTTTGAACATTGAGGACTGCTTACAATCTCATTGGAAAGCAGGAGAAAGGATTTGTGTTCTGATAATTCATTTTAGCTTACTCCATTTTACCCTGTTCTTATTTTATTTTATCTTATTTTATTTTTTTTGAGTTTGTGGGGGCACTTGTCGTCGTATTCAAGGTACATCATTACCTGAGATGACATGTCATGGTGGTTTTTGTTATTATGTTTGCGTCATTGTGGCATTTGCTTATTTTATCAATAAAATGTGTATAAATTTGATTACGGTAAGGGAGATTGACCCAATAAATCTTTCCAGGAACTTGTCGAAAAACTCAGTAAAGGTGAGCTTCCTAAGAATGAATACCCATGTATGAATGACCCAAGTCCTACATTTCATGGTGCTACACATCCTGCTGCGATACAATATACTGAGACCCCAGTTGCACACTCCATGAGGTCGAGACGTACCCCAACATGGGCTTCTCGACCTCGTAATTCTGATGATGGTTATTCGAGGTAATACTTGGTATTTTCTATTGAGTAGTAGATTACTGTAGTTGGCCACTTGTTAATTTTTTACTGCTTTTGGGCAATGGAGTATTACTGTTGTATTTAGCAACTCAAATCCTCTAACGGTTGTCTGCCTATTCTAGTCTCTGCTAGAGGTCAGATTATTAAATGCAGTTTTTCATTATTTACTTCTAAGTTCTATACATTTCCCTTCCCAGTTTACTTTTGTCATGTTTGGATAGCTATTGTAGAAGGAAATAGAGGGTTAGGAAGAAGAGAGAGAAGGATGGGAGGTGAGGATAGGGAAGAGTGAGTTTCCATTTACCTTCAAAATGTTTCCAACAATGCAAGGATTTGATTCATTTGAATTAATACTCCGTAATAGGGAAAGAATATGGATCTCTTTAATACCTTTCCCTGATTCATGATTAAACCAGGGAAAGATCAATCCCTCACTATCTCTTCTCTTCCTTTCCCTCCATATTTTTACTCTATCCAAACTTAGTGTATGTTAACTCTTCCAATTACCTGTTTTGTGGCCGACTATATTGCAAATTAAGGGTGGCTGAATTCATATTTTCTTTGTACTCAAGGTTGTGTTTTTTGGAAATTTATATTGTGAATTTGTTTTTCTTCTGTGTTTAGTGATTCAATTCTCAGACATGCTTCTAGTGATTTTAAGAAGATGGACAAGCGTATCTTTGTATTTATTGTGGGGGTGCTACTAGATCGGAGGTAAGTGAAGTTTGGTGCATTTATGCTATTGCAACTCTTTCAGTGGTTGTGATTAATAGCTGAAAATCTATGATTCTTACAGCTGCGAGCTTGCCACAAGCTTACGACAAAGTTGAACAGGGAAGTCATTTTGGGCTCCTCTAGTGTTGATGATCCTCCACAATTTATCACAGTAAGAACATTTAGTTTTTTTTTTTTTTTTTTCTCGTCTTTTTTTTTTTTTCAAGTCTGGTACTTGATGGGTTAGCAACTTAGCACTTCTTTGTTTCTCGTGGTGCATCAGCTTGTCTATTTGTCAATTCAACTTATCACATACATCCTATGTTTTTTTATGCAGAAATTGAAGCTGCTTTCAAGCGAACTTTCGTTGGATGACCTTGAGATATAAAGGTTTTTCATGAAACTGTTTGTCCTGATCATTCATTCTTTTCCTACTGTGTAAATTGTGTGCCATTAGTTCTTGGATTCTATTTCTCAGCGTAACATGTATCATATGATTCATATCAATACGTACCGTTGAAAAGAAAAAAAAATGTGCTTTTGATTCCAGAAGAATTTCAGCAATCTCGCTGTGTCTTGTGTGGGTCAAGCGATATCTCTGTCAATAAGTTTGTACTACTGAGATGTATTGAAATTTCAGTCGCATCAGTCAAACTTTGTAAGTAGTTTATATGTAACTAAACGGTATACTATTTTTTATGCGGCGTACCTGCACCATCTTGTGAATCTTGATCCAGAAAATGCGAAAGTGTTTGGGCTTGTTTGGTTCTTGGGTTTTTCCATGACTTTTGCCTTTTTTGTTTGGTCAAAAAGTCATTTTATGTTAGGTAATTGGCTTTCTATTTGATTAAAAATAAGCTTTTTTTGCCAAAAGTCAAAAGAGAGTAAGGCTTTGTTTAGTTAAACATATTTTTACTTATTTCAGAAAAAATAAGTTCAAATTAGATCATTGTTTTATGTGCATTTTTTTTATCGCAAAATATCTTTAATTTCGAATGAAAAAATTATGAAAATTACATATTAATAAAATACATATTATTATGAATCTAACAAGATCCCATGATATTTTTTTTCCTTACCGATTGTCGTACACTTAAGGTTAAAGTTTGGTCAAATTAGACAATCAGATCAGACCAGATCGGATAAATTCAGATAAGCAAAATAAGGTGAACTCAATAGGGCCTAAGACTAGCTTTTTAGAATTGACTTTTGGCTTTTCATCTTTAAAATTATTTTTATGCCCTTATGGTTCACTAATAAATAATGTAATAATTACAAAAGGTGAGCTTGTAAGGCCCAACTCATGCCCAGCTTTATATCCATGAAAGAAGCTCCGCTTGATAAATGGTGTCAAAAGGTGACTCAGATTGGGCCAAAAGCATGATACGTTAAATTATTATTCGAATAATTAGTTTGTATAATTATTTTTTGGGTTGCATTGCACATCCTAAGGTAGGAATAAATTCGGGTTGCATTTGATTATCAATTATCCACTTCAAACTGGAAAAGTATTCGGCTAATATCAAATGGACATCTAATTTTCTCAAATTCATTAATTTAGATTGTGATCAGACTCAGGTAATGCCAATGTTTTATTAGCAATTTAACATAGCTCAGTTCGGGTCACTAGGGTCGGATTCGATTTGATCGTGAGATAAGTTTTATGAAGATAATATACTACCTCCGTTAATTTTTAATTACTTTTACACAATTTTTACAATTTTACTTTAAGCAGTTTTAACTTTGGCGTGTTGTGCAGGAGCTTTTTGAATACCTTTGTGATTTGACTTTTGTATAAAATGTTTATGTATATTAGGATGACTTATTATCAATTTATTTAAGGTAAGTTTACAATTAATGTAAATTTTTACACAAAGTAATAAAAAACTTGTGAACGTAAACCTATTTGTTCTCAGTTTCCTCTCTCTCTCTCGGTTTCTCTTTAACTATGGGTTATAATTTTACTAAGATTATGAAGATCATAACCAGCAATTTTGTTGCTAGAGAAGAAAATTATGTGATTTTTCTAGCTTAATTTGATAATTTGATCAAATTTGCCTTTAATCTTAGGATGGAACTATGAAATTGGTCTAAAATCATGTAATTTTTCGAGCCAAATGTGATAATTGAATCAAGTTTGGTTGCTAATGTGTTATAGAACCCTTTAATACTAGAATATGCAACTATGATATTGTACCTTTTCTCCTGGGCGGCCGCCCCTCCTGCCCTAGCTCGGGCCGTGAACTTAAGCTTATGTGAATTTAGGGTCATACACGAGTTGCGAAACATAAATTTTGAAAACTTTACTTTGAGGAGTTTAATTGGTATTAATTCATAAAAAGGAAAAGAAAAGCTCGATTCAATCTTGACCCGAGCTTAAGCTTATGTGTTAGTGCATTATATTCTTGAATTAGCTTGATGTCGCGACTAAATTGTTTTGTCAAAAAATTATCTTGTTTCACCAAGGTATATTGATAGATGAACTAGTGATGGATATTCTAAGCAGTGATACTCGGTTTTCTTGTTTCAAAATGGATGTGATACTACTGATATAGTAATGTCCAGATATTTCTCCAATTTTACATATTTGTGAGTTCTGAACTATGCAGGAATGGGCGTCATAGGGTCAGTTATAAGGTTATCTCAGGGCATATTGTTGCTTGCAAATGTAGTGTCGGTATACAATGAAGACCGTTTTCTTGCTCCAAGAGGATGGAGCTGTGCAGATTCTGTTTGATCGATGAACACATTAAAGAGGCGATTTATGCGTCTTGCTTTCAGCCTTCAGTGTTTTCGATTGATTCTAATACTTCTCAACATCGCCTGCATCAGTTACAAGATTATCTATGGATGAAATCACATGGCAATTAATTATCTCATTCAAACAAGATGGAGTTGAAGTTTTGAAGCTCCAGGGAAGGAGATGCTTGGTTTTCTTCAGTCTGGACTGCTGATGCTTGGTTTTGAAGTTGTGAAGCTTGGTTTTCTCCAGTAAAAAAAGCATGGAGTGTTGAAGCTGTAGTTTCACTGTGAGTTACTTCGTTTTGATTGTTCTTGGCTTGTATGTTTGATAATGCTTCATTAAGCTCAGCCATGAACGCTGACTCATCAAAAACATGTGCTGGATCAGTGTATTTGATGAGCATCTTGTCAACAATTATGGTCTTCAATTCTTTTTGTATTTGTACATCTTCAAACATGCTAATGAAAGCATACATATCAGAAATTTTTTTTACCAGCGTTGCTGCCATTGTTGAAAACTGGGCAAAGTAATCCTTCAATAAACAGGAGAAAGGAGTGTAAAAGATTAGAACAATATGTAGAACATTAAGAACCACAAACATTAGTAAGAACAATAAGTTTCTAAGAACAATAAGTTTCATTAAGAAATGAAACAGTAATTTACCCGTGTTTCTAAGGATGCAGTTGGATTTTCTTCCAATCTCAGGCACTGGAATTCCAGTTTCTCACTCTCAATCTCAGGCACTGGAATTCTTGGAAGAACATGTCCTCGACCATAACCTCGTTCTAGTTCAATCTTCATCCTTGAATGAATCATGTCTTTATTCCCAACAAAGGTTAGGGGAATTTGCCTTGGAGGATAAGCATCTCCTCTTTGAAGTCTATCAAAATAGACAATCTGATTTTAAGCAATATATAAGAAAGATTAGAACAATATGTACAACAATATATAGGCATATAAATTAGAAAAATTAGGAACAATAGGAATACAAATTAGAAACAATACGCATATAAATTAGGAACAATGAGTAGAAAAGATAAACAATAGGTAGAGGAGAGAAGTAGTTACCATCATGAAAGGAAGTGGACCAGTGAAATATGATGATCCCTTTTTCCATTTTCTGACTGCTTCAGTCATGCTTTGTTTTGCGAACAAACACCAATCAAGTTTGCTCACTTTGGTGATATCCTTACAGCTACATAAAAATTTGAAATTAACAGATGTGTTATCTGTTGACATTACACAGCAATTAATCGCAGATGCAATGAAATTCAGTAAAAACTCAGTGGACACATCTTGTTTTTTTTTTGTTCTTCTAAGTGATTTACAAGGACACCGAAAGTTGGACTTCCAGTGTCAAGCCCAAACTGACTCCTCCATTGCCTTAAAAACAGTGATTTGTCTTCTCTCTCTTTTCTCTCTTCATCAGAGACCTCAGAGTCCTTTTTATCAAAATTAAAATTTGTTCTTGGCTCTTTAATTTTGACTGGACCTTGGGGCAGGCCGTAGACTACATGAACATCCTCTTCAGTTATTAGTATCTCATTGCCATTGAAGAGTTTCAAAGATGTTCTATCGGGGTCAAAGCTATTGACCAATTCTTCAGAAAAACTGCCATTGTGAGCATCTAAACTTAAGTGAAGGAATCCACCAAACCCCAAATCATTGATAGCATCCTTATGTTGAGGCGGAAGGTCTTTTAAAACCTTATTTATAAACCTCTTGGCGGTATGTCTCTGTCTCAATGCTTTGTGTTCTCTCATCTGCTTCTGTTTCTGCTTTTTTTCTCTCATCTGCTTCTGCTTCTGCTTTTTTTGACTGCAGGAACAATAGGCATATAAATAAGAACAATAGGAATATAAATTAGAAACATTAGGCGTATAAATTAGGAATATTAGGCAGGAACAATGAAAAGGGCAAAGGGCTGATCATTATAGGAACAATAGGCATATAAATAAGAACAATAGGAATATAAATTAGAAACATTAGGCGTAAAAATTAGGAATATTAGGAATATAAATTAGATTAGGCGTATAAATTAGGAATATTAGGCAGGAACAATGAAAAGGGCAAAGGACTGATCATTATTCCAAACATTAGGCATATAAAAAATTAGGCATATAAAAAATATGCAATAAATTAAGAACAATAGGAATTACAATTAGGAACATTAGGCGTATAAATTAGGAATATTAGGCAGGAACAATATGCAATAAATTAAGAACAATAGGAATTACAATTAGGAACATTGGAATATTAGGCAGGAACAATATGCAATAAATTAAGAACAATAGGAATTACAATTAGGAACATTAGGCGTATAAATTAGGAATATTAGGCAGGAACAAATGGATTTCTAAGCCTAATGTGCTGAATTGCCCAGCCTTCCCACCACTTGCCCCTTCCCACCACCATTTGACAATAACACTAGAGGAACAATATTAATGGCATATCCGTAAATAATGTTGCGGTGAACATTAAGCAGGAACAATAGGCATTAAAATAAGAACAATAGGCATTTAAATGGATTTCTAAGCCTAATGTTGCGGTGCCCAGCCTTGCCACCACCACTTGCCCCTTCCCACCACCACCGCCATTCGATAATTACACTAGATTGTCAAAATCTAACCTTATTGACTCAATTATCAAACTAGACTCCAATAGTTCAATTATCCAACTTCGAAGAACCCTATAAACCCTATATTGAACAATAGGATATAAAAATTAGAACATTACGTGTATTAGCTTGAAACATTACTTACATAAATCTGGAAGAATCCATGGAAAATTGAAAATGCGACGAAGATGAAGAAGTGATGGAGAAGTGGGAATAAATAGGAATTCAAAGGGACGAAAATGCGATTATTGAAGAAATAGAATTCAAATAAATTCAAAGGGACGAAAATGCTACTGCTGTAATGAAATTAGTGGAGAAGTGGAGACTGGAGAGAAAACCGCCTCATTATTTAAACCGCAACATTATTTAAACCGCAACATTATTTACGGATATGCCATTAAATTTGTCAGTCTGGAATTTTTGCTCCAAAACGTAATATTGTTTTGTTCCAAACTTAATAACGTATTGTTCCAAACGTTTTCAAGGACGTTTACAAGGATTATACCTATTTCTTTTAGGGTATGGTTTTAGGGATTGCTTGTGCTTTATTGTATAAAAATCAAGGTTGTGATTTATTGTATAAACTTCAGGCAATCGTCTTAATATTAACGTATGCTACTGTCCACCGCCTCCAGTATTTTCTTGTATTTGTCTTAATATTAACGTATGCTACTGTCCACCGCCTCCAGTCTGGTCCATGGTAGACAAATGGTTGTGTGCCACGTGGCAGGCCCTAAGAGGTCCAAGTGGAGGAATTGAGGTTCTCTCATAACATTACATAAAGTCTCTTAAGTCTCAAGTACTAGAAATAACATTACATAAAACCTTTCTTCTGCATTTTGTTTGTTCTATGTTGTTACTTCCTTCCTTTTACTTGTTGTTTTCAATGTACTTAGCTGTCGGACCTGGTTCAGATGGCCAAGTAGCTAAGTACATTGAAAATAGCTATCTTTGACTGGGATTTTCTCTTTATTTTTCTATAAAAAATTTTACACTTCCAATGAAAAAGTACAATGAACAAATGATTGGTACTAGTGCAGTACATTGAAAATAGCTATCTTTGACTGGGATTTTCTCTTTGTTTCTCTATAAAACTTTTTACACTTCCAATAAAAAAGTACAATGAACAAATGATTGATACTAGTGCAGTAGTTGTTTAGGGTAAAAATTACCCCTGCCACGTTAAGGGTAAGAATTAACAAGAAAAACAAGTTAAGGTTAAGAATGTCAATACCTAAACTCTTCTGTGTCCATTGATCCAAATTGATCCAAAATTGACCCAAATAATCTGCCACAGTTCGCAAAATCTTTCCGTAGAAATAATCCCTCTGAACCCCTTAGCCTCAGAGTTTTCTTCTCTTGGAAGCTACATATGACTCAACTCACATTTTAAGCTTCTCTTGGAAGCTACATATGACTCAACTCTAATAAGTAAATAAAGTGATAATCCCTCCAAACGTACAAAATGAAGCTTCCATATTGAGCTTCCCTACTTTTAGGGGCCCCAGCCGCCTGAAATCAGAAGAGTCGGGGTGGCCGGGGTCCTTGCCCCACATGTTCCAAACATTTATACCAAATGTTCCTTCTTTGGAAGAAAAAGGAAAATATATTACTTTAAAGAGTAACAGCAAGTAAAATATATTTTACTTTAAAGAGTAACAGCAAGTAAAATATATTATTGGTTAATTGTCGAGTTATAGTAGCTTGATTGTGTATGTGTTATTCAACATTAACAATTTGTTGACTTTGTTGTTCACTTTGTACAAAAATAAAAAAAATTAATTTTTTTCCTTACCACCTGGTGGCCAAGGATTTATTTTTTTTATTTTTTAAAAATATTATTTATGGCATACAGTATTACGGATATGCCATTAAATTTATGTTCCAAAACGTAATACTGTTTTGTTCCAAACTTAATAACGTATTGTTCCAAACGTTTACAATGACGTTTACAAGGATTATACTTTATGTAATGTTAATCGACTTAATATTAACGTATGCTACTGTCCACCGCCTCCAATATTTTCTTGTAATTGTCTTAATATTAACGTATGCTACTGTCCACCGCCTCCAGTCTGGTCCATGGTAGACAAATGGCTGTGTGCCACGTGGCATGCCCTAAGAGGTCCAAGTGGAGGAATTGAGGTTCTCTCGTAACATTACATAAAGTCTCTTAAGTCTCAAGTACTAGAAATAACATTACATAAAACCTTTCTTCTGCATTTTGTTTTTTCTATGTTGTTACTTCCTTCCTTTTACTTGTTGTTTTCAATGTACTTAGCTGTCGGACCTGGTTCAGATGGCCAAGTAGCTAAGTACATTGAAAATAGCTATCTTTAACTGGGATTTTCTCTTTGTTTCTCTATAAAACTTTTACACTTCCAATAAAAAAGTACAATGAACAAATGATTGATACTAGTGCAGTATATTGAAAATAGCTATCTTTGACTGGGATTTTCACTTTGTTTCTCTATAAAACTTTTTACACTTCCAATAAAAAAGTACAATGAACAAATGATTGATACTAGTGCAGTAGTTGTTTAGGGTAAAAATTACCCCTGCCACGTTAAGGGTAAGAATTAACAAGAAAAACAAGTTAAGGTTAGGAATGTCAATACCTAAACTCTTCTGTGTCCATTGATCCAAAATTGACCCAAATAATCTGCCACAGTTCGCAAAATCTTTCCGTAGAAATAATCCCTCTGAACCCCTTAGCCTCAGAGTTTTCTTTTCTTGGAAGCTACATATGACTCAACTCACATTTTAAGCTTCTCTTGGAAGCTACATATGACTCAACTCTAATAAGTAAATAAAGTGATAATCCCTCCGAACGTACAAAATGAATTGATAATCCCTCCGAACGTACAAAATGAAGCTTCCATATTGAGCTTCCCTACTTTTAGGGGCCCCAGCCGCCTGAAATCAGAAGAGTCGGGGTGGCCGGGGTCCTTGCCCCACATGTTCCAAACATTTATACCAAATGTTCCTTCTTTGGAAGAAGAAGGAAAATATATTACTTTTATAAAGAGTAACAACAAGTAAAATATATTTTACTTTAAAGAGTAACAGCTAGTAAAATATATTATTGGTTAATTGTCGAGTTATAGTAGCTTGATTGTGTATGTGTTATTCAACGTTAACAATTTTTTGACTAATTAATTTTTTTCCTTACCACCTGGTGGCCAAGGATTTATTTTTTTTTAAAATATTATTTATATTTCTTTTAAAAAAACAAAAATTTAAAAAGCTCTTTTTTTCCCTTTCCTTCTTCCTTATCGTGCCCATCAGCCTACTTTGCCAAGAGGTGGCAGGAGGATAGCAGAAGCTACCCAACCTACTTAAAGAACCTAAAGGCTTAGCCCGGTCTGAAGAAAGAAGAAAGTAGACCCTGTAGAGAAGCGGATAGAAAAGATCGCCTATAGACTCAAGCGACCAGCTCGGTGAAAACTCACCCCGTATTCCATGTAAGTCAGTTGACTTCGATTAGACCAGACCGCCCCAGAGAGGAACGTGCCCACGAGGGCACCACCAGATGTTGTAGATGAACCTAACCTACTAAAGAAGAAGTTGAGTATATCATAGCTGACCGCACCATGGGCTAGCCCATAGACCGACTGCACGAATGGAATACTACTTAGTAAAGTAGAAGGGCCAACCTGAGAGCAAGTCAAGCTGGGAACGGGCTGAGACTTACGATTCCGAAGACCAAGTCAGAGACTACTGGACGCCTCGCAGAGCGACTCTCAACGAGGACGTTGAGACAGTTCGAAAAAAGAATTTCTTGGTGTTGAAAACAAAAATAAAAAAATTAATATTTTTTCTTACCTCTGGTGGCCAAGGAATTAAAAAAAAAAAAAAAAAACTTACCCAAACAACAAGTTACCGGTCATAAGAGACCATTAGAAGAGAATACCCTCCAAAGATGAGTTTATTAGATAATAATCAAAAGGTGAGATTATTAGCAGCGACCCGATTAAAGGTAGGATTATTAGAATCAAATTTTCCTTTATTATTTGCTTTTCCCATAAAATGTGAGTCACTGAGTTGAGGGTTCATTTTTTTTCCCATAAAATGTGAGTTGAGGGTTAAAAAAACCGGTCTTTTTCTTTTTCCTCGATCTCTCCTCCTCTCTCACTGCATCTCTCTCTCCTCCATTGAAGCGTACTTGAAATTCT